AGACCCATTGCCATTACCTCACATTTTTTGAAAGTTATGGAAAGACTTATTTTACTTAATCTTGAACCATGTTTAAAGCCTTTCAACGACCCCGACCAGTTTGCTTATAAACATAGTAGGTGTACGTTAGATGCCACTGTTGTCCTACATCATAGTATAGTCTCTAGTTTAGATAAAGGAGCTAAATACGTTCTCTGTGCCTTCCTTGATTACACATCTGCATTTGACTCTGTTCCCAGGTCTCTCTTGCTAAGTAAGCTTGCTGCATCATAGTCTGAGAGCTGGACAAATAAGTGGCTGCATTCCTACTTTTCTGATTGGAAGCAGCACTCCGTCTACAATGGAAAGTCCTCCACTACCTCACTTACTCACTTTAGCTGGTGTTCCTCAAGGTGCTGTTCTTTCTTCCTTTCTGTTCTCGTTTTTCTTACATGACTTGCCTCATTCTGATGTAGCCACTTTTGTTAAGTATGCTGATGACTTCTCTGTTTCTATGCCAGTCAACTCTCAGTCAGATTGTTCCAAATTAAATAACTTTCTGTCGGAAATTATTCAGCGGTCCTCTTCAAACGGTCTTTAGCTAAATCCGTCTGAATGTCAGGTAGTCAATTTCACCCTCAGACGTAAACGTGACCTACAGCAACTAGTTAGCTCACATGGCCCCATTATCATTGACGACACAGAGGTTGAAAATACATCTTATGTCAAGTACCTTGGGCTGAGTTTTTCCACCGATCTTTCCTGGTCTTCCCACATCTTGCTAGTTACTAGAAAGATGTTTCGCTTAACGTTCTACATTAGGAAATTTAGGCAATCTGGCATAAAACAGTCTTTGCTTTCTCAGTTTGTAAATTCTTGTATTCTACCCATCCCCCTTTACTGATCCCCATTAATCTTTCATGGACTACTTAAGAAAGACTTTACTTTGCTGAGAAGGACACTAAAAGCCGTTAGTAGGGCAAGTGGGATATCGTTAAACCAACTAGGTTAACACTATTGTAGATAGACATATAATGTCATGTAAGAAACTAGCGAATACAATATTGTCAGACCCCAAGCATCCTCTCTATACGCAGCTGTCTCCTTGCATTTCATCTGGTAGAACTAGAAGCAGCTATAGGAGGCTATATGCTAGGACTACCAAATACAAAAACTCCACAATACCATATCTGGCACAGCTGTTATGTGATGAGAAATCCGTTAGGTATGACACGATCAACTTACTGCGGCACTCTAACAAATAGTCCCATTAGTTTTTGTTTTCCTTTCCTCGTTACTATTACACTGTTGTTCTCATCTTCTATCACACATCAACTTTATATTTCATATCCTGTGGTGCATTGTTTGAAATGTAAACGCCACGCTGTTTTTTTGTTTTTTTATTTATTTATTTATTTTAAAAATCTCATAAAATTTTTGAGGTAATTAGATGCAATATATTGTGATGCACGCTGAAAGTTCCATACCTGTACCACAAATAGTGTTTGGAATAAAGCTGTTATTATTATTATTAGATGATCAAACGTAGTGTTAATTACTCTTATTATTCTTAAATCCCTTTGTCACTTTGTGTATTTTCATTGGCCTTTAATTTGTTTTTCATATAAATAGAATTGACAGGTAAATGTGTGCTGGATCACACTGTTCGAAATGTATTGCGCAAACGCAGTACACATTTTTCAGATAATCTCCGTCTCTTAATAATAGTATACAAATTTATATAAGGGACTAATCGTTTTAAATCTATGCTAAACTCCAATAAATATATTTCGACATCTTAGTTCGCCATTCAGTCCAGATGAACAACTACACGACTGTAAACTATTCGAATCACTGTGCAAGTTGCTTTCACGACAGCCTTGTGTGAACTACAGGCAGAAAGCAGAGTCCCCTGCATTACCTTTGAATGTGTAGAGGAGGGTTTAGAAAAGACTGGTCCAAAAAGTTGTGCACTCAAATACCTAACTGCACTGTGTAGGAGGTGATAGGCTTCAATAAGCGGAAAAATCTTTAAGTATTCTAATATCTCCGAAAAATTTGTGTATATCTAACGCCAGACAATAATGTTTGCTCTGTCTATCTTTGTGGCCTCATCTCACTTGGTCAATGATTGCATTTCGGACTAGGTTTAGGTTGAGTTTTATCATAATACATCAATCTGGCCGTAAAATAATTTTAATAATAATACTAATAATGGTAGCTCTATTTTGAACAGCGATTATGTAATGTACAGAATTTTCGGCGGAGTTTATTACATGATACTTTCTCTTCGTCCACTATTTTCAAATAAAACACTCACCGATTGACAGTAGATCAAGTGAAGCAGAACAAGCTGCAGGCAAAGGAGACCTCGCCACACTCTACCGAACAACTAGGCACCTATCGGACAAAACTTCGACACAGATTAAGCCAGTAAAGGATGACAATGGATGTCAATCACCAAAGAAGTGGACCAAAGAAAACACCGGGCTGAACACTTCAAAAGACTTCTTAATCGACCGCTACCTACAATGTGCTGAACAATACCAACAACGGAAGCAGAACTACCAGTGAACATCAACCCTCTCCCCGACGAAATCCGAAGTCCTGAAGGCAATCAAGACGCTAAAAGCTGGAAAAGCAGCAGGAACAGATGGAATCCCAGCAGAAGCATTGAAAATCGACCCAGAGACGACAGCGGAGTTGATGACGCCATCACTACTGGAGATGGTGTGGAAAGAGAGCAAAGTACCTGAGGATTGGAAGAAAGAATACTTTTTCAAACTACCAAAGGAAGGAGACTTAAGCCAATGCAAAAACTGGCGTGGAATTATGCTTCTGTCCATTCCAAGCAAGATACTAAGTCGCATCATCCTGGAGAGAATCAAACAAGCCCTAGATGAAAAACTTCGTCCGGAACAGGCTGGATTCAGGAGAAACAAATCATGTATTGATCAAATCGCCACTCTACGGATCATCATTGAACAAAGCTTGGAATGGCAGTCACCTCTCTATCTCAACTTCATCGACTTTGAAAAGGCCTTCGACAGCGTCGATCGAGTGGTCATTTGGCAACTACTTCGCCACTACGGGGTCCCATCGAAAATTATACATCTCATCCAACAGTTATACGACAATGCTGCATGCAAAGTAATCCACAACGGGAAATTTACGGAAGCCTTCGAAGTGAGGACGGGAGTGAGGCAAGGCTGTCTTCTATCACCAATGATCTTCATGATTGCAGTAGATTGGATAATGAGACAGAAAACGGGCAATGAGATAACAGGCATAAAATGGACTCCCACAAAACAGAACTTGGAGGATCTGGACTTCGCTGATGTGATATGTATGTCTGATTTCCAACAAATTGGAAGATATGCAAGTGGAAAGCAACAAGCTGGCACAAGAAGCATCAAAGATAGGACTTCAAGTGAACATAGATAAAACAGAGGTAGGTGATGAAGATTCCTGACCAACACCAACAGCAGCAACAACAACAACAGACAACAATCAGCCAGCATAAATGGGAGGAACCTGAAAGAAAAAACCTCCTTCACCTACCCACATGGGAAGCATCGTTTCAACTAAAGGCGGCGGAACTGATGAGGATATCAAAGCCAGAATTGGAAAAGCAAGACAAGTTTTCATTACTCTCAAGTCTGTGTGGAGGTCAACAGCACTCTGCATGAAAACGAAAATAAGATCCGAATTTTTAACTCCAATGTGAAGTCAGTCAGTGCTACTTACCATACGGATCAGAGACTTGGCCAGCGCTTCATAAAGAGCATCTCAAACAAACTTCAGACCCTCATTAACAGTTGTCTTCGCTCAACACAACTCACGATCAGATGGCCGGCCAGAAAAGATCAGGAACAGGGATCTCTGGAAATGAGCGAACCAACCCAGCAGGAACCGATTGTGAAACAAATACGCAGGAAGAAATGGAGATGGATTGGCTGGCCATACTCTGAGACAACAAACCATCAAGTGACATCACTAGACAAGCCATTGCTCGAGTGGAACCCGACTGAGGGGGAAGCGGCGAGTTGGTCGTCAGTGTGTGGGTGGGGTGACTTGGATGAGGTGATGTGAGGAGGAGATGAAAGCATGTGGTCAGACTTGGAGCGGAGTGAAAAAGTTGGCAGAAAACCAAAGGCAGTGGAGACGCGCAGCGGAAGCCCTATGTTCCTCTACGAATTAAAGGATATAATAATAATAATCGTACTGCAACAGCACAAGGTGATACGCGGATGCAAACGTATATACCAAAGTGATTAAACCGCTATTTATATCTATACAGTTTATATTCTTTAACCAATCACTGAGCGTGTAAATTTGGTTTAGATTAAACGATATGAAATAGAATGTGCAAATACACATATAGTATTCTTTTGCTTATGTAGTACTGAATTGTGGGAAAGGTATTTTGTTTGGATAACCTAGGTGAATAAAGATGGATACAGGTGAATAACGTCACTACTGGTCATCAACAAGTAGAATCACAGAAAGACTTCTGTTGGATTTAGAACATCCGGTAAGGGAATTATTGTTTTATACCTTAGATATATGTGCTTTTAACTGTATGGAATTGTAGCGGTAAATAATTCCCCAAAATTATTGACCACAGCAATCACTCATTGGATGCTGACCACCACTGTTTAAGTCGACTTGTTTAGCTGAAGGCTTCCGGTCAAGCATCCCCGCCATTTGGTACCTCGTCGTGTCACGTGCACGATCACTAGCTAGCTAAGCGTTCGTCTAACGGCTGGTTTTGGTTCGTAAATACATCTCTTGGTTTGGACGATCAATTGTTGGCTTTTGCTTTGTCTTTGGTACGCGAGAATAAATTAATTAGAAGTTGTTGAACGAGATATCACGTCAAACCTTTAATATCCGTCAACCTCTAAACTGGTGAGCCCGACCGCGAACTTCATCTACGAAAATTACTCAGATAATCCCGGTGAGTTCGTTCCATTTTGTATTTGTTCTTGTACCATATATTATTCGACATAATTTTCGTCATGAGTGATCTTAGTCCCAAGGTCATCCGTATCCGCTCAACTCCTAAAACCATTCAGCTCGTACCATACTGGCCAGATAATGCTGAAACGTGGTTTCTGCTAGCTGAAGCAGATTTTTGTGAGCATGGGATAACTGATCAACGTTCACAGTTACTTGCAGTTATTCACGCCCTACCGCGGGAATTCAGCAAGTACGTAACATCACAGATGTTGAGTCCCGAGGTAAGTAACTCGTACGAGTTGCTGAAAGCATCCCTCCTCAGGAGAAACGCTCTCACGGACAGACAACGTCTAGATGAATTATTTCGCAACATCGAGTTAGGAGATCAGTCAGCCGTGAGCATGCTGACAAGAATGAAACAAGTCGTCGGCCAAAGTCAGTTCGACGAAGGACTGTTTAGAGAACTCTTCTTAACCAAGTTGCCACAATCTGTACAGACCGTACTTGTGACACTTGAGGGTACTGTAATAGAGAACTTAGCTATTACTGCAGATAAGATCCTAGAAATAACTAAACGGTCTGTCCCCGAAATATGCTCAATGACTAAGCAGACTTCGAGTGAGGATCCTGCAATGACAGAGTTATGCAACTCCCTTCAGCAGATGTTTAGGTCAAACACGCATTCTAAATCCTCCAACCGTCGTCCTAAATCTCCTCAACGCAGGAACTCGCGTGGTCGATCTAAGTCCAAACCACGTTCACTGAAAAACCCTGACTGGTGCTGGTACCACAACACCTATGGCCAAGAAGCGAAGTGTTGCCGTAAGCCTTGTAACTTCGGAAATGTCTCAAAGTCTGCGGGAAACTATCCCGCCGGCACGCGTTAGCGGCAACCGTCGCCGGTGGCACTAGCCGCCTACTTTACATCCATGATGTGATAAGCCAGACTCGATACTTAGTCGACACAGGCGCCGAAGTCAGCGTCCTTCCTGCTACAGCAGCAGATCGACAGAAGGAACCTACCTTCAACTTACAGGCTGCAAATGGAAAACCAATCGCAACCTTTGGTAGGAAATACGTCTATCTGAACGTAGGTTTACGCAAACCTATTCGGTGGATTTTCCTTCTCGCTGACGTTACAATGCCCATCATTGGCACGGACCTACTTAATCATCATGATTTACTCGTAGACGTCCGCCGAAAACGACTGATTGACAATACTACTAGTCTGTCTATCAAAGGCATCACCTACATAGGCCCTAGTTTGTCACCCGTTAAGATAAAGGCAATCCTTGATCCAACTTTTCAACCTATTGTTGACAAGTATCCGGAACTTAATTGCCCGTCGAACGACCTACCGTGCATAACCAGCAATGTTATGCACCACATCATTACCACAGGACAACCTGTGACATCTAAAGCACGACGATTAGCTCCTGACAAACTGAGAATCGCCAGGAATGAATTTGACCATATGCTTACCCTTGGCATCATTCGACCTTCGAATAGCCCATGGGCATCCCCACTTCATATGGTTCCGAAAAAGGATAGCAACGATTGGCGACCCACCGGTGATTACCGGCGAGTGAATGCCAAAACAACCCCTGATTGCTACCCGTTGCCTCATATACACGACTTGACGGCAACCTTATCCGGCGCGACTATATTCTCCAAAATCGACTTGGTTAAAGCGTATAACCAAATCCCGATGGCAACAGAAGACATCCCGAAAACGGCTATCATTACGCCTTTCGGACTTTTTGAATTTCTACGTATGCCATTCGGTCTTCGGAATGCAGCCCAAACATTCCAACGCTTCATTGACGAAGTATTTCGCGGTCTCGACTTTGTATACGCATACTTAGACGACTGCCTCATTGCCAGTCCAGACAAGGAAACTCACCTTAGGCACTTGGACTTGGCATTTGACAGGTTACGCCAACATGGTGTTACCATTAATATTCAAAAATGTCAAATCGGTGTTGACTCACTCGACTTTCTGGGTCACACTATTGACTGCAAGGGCATTCGCCCACTGGCTACTAAGGTCGAGGCTATACTGAACTTTCCAGAGCCACAGACGGTGAAAAGTCTCCGCACTTTTAACGGCTTAGTAAGTTATTATCGACGCTTTATTCCCAACTGTGCCTCTTTGATTCAGCCATTGACAGACCTCCTTCGAGGGAATAACAAGTCCATAGAACTTGACGCGTCTGCTCGAAATGCTTTTACCCAGATTAAAAAAGCTATTGCGAATGCCACACTTCTGATGTATCAGGATCCAACGGCACCGTTAAGTATCTCGGTTGATGCATCAAACACTGCAATCGGCGCAGTTCTACAACAGCTAGTTGACAATGAGTGGCAACCACTTGCCTTTTTCTCCCGGCGCCTTCAATTAGCTGAAACGAAGTACAGCACATTCGGCAGAGAACTTCTGGCTATGTACTGTGCTATACGACATTTTAGACATTCGGTAGAGGGTCGTGAATTTATAATTTTTACGGATCACAAACCTCTGACGTACTCTCTGAACTCACCTTCAGATAAGTATTCACCCAGGGAATCACGACAACTGGATTACGTCTCACAGTTTACATCAGATATTCGCCATGTATCCGGAGTAAACAACACTGTGGCAGATGCCTTGTCGCGCGTTTGTTCCCTCACCCAAATCGACGGCATAGACCTAGTAAAACTGGCTCGTCTTCAAAAAGAAGATGCCGAACTTCAACATGAGTTGTCGAAAACAACTCTACAATTAGCTGAGAAACCCTTAGGTATGGGAAGAGATACTATTCTGTGCGACATTTCCACGAGTACTCCTCGCCCCATCGTGCCTAAAAGCTATCGCCGTAACGTCTTCAATACGTTGCATGGCTTATCTCACCCAGGTATTCGCACTACTGTCAAGCTCGTAACTAGTCGGTTTTGTTGGCCTGGCATTAATAAAGAAGTAAGGGAATGGGCACAAACGTGCTTAGCTTGTCAAAAGTGCAAGGTGATAAGACACACCAAAAGCCCACTTGGCACCTTTCTTCTCCCTGACGCTCGTTTCGAACACGTCCATATAGATTTGGTTGGTCCCCTTCCTGAATCACATGGATATACTTATATTTTAACTTGCATCGATCGATTCACACGATGGCCGGAAGCAGTACCCATCAAGGACGTATCTGCTGAAACAGTCGCACGCGTCTTCGTAGAAAGATGGATTGCTAACTTTGGATGCCCATCTTCCATAACAACTGATCGCGGGCGGCAATTCGAAAGTGGCTTATTCTTTGCCCTGACTAAAATATTAGGTTGCATGCGATTTCGAACAACAGCCTACCATCCTCAAGCTAATGGTATGGTAGAACGTCTACACAGACAGCTGAAAGCTGGTCTGTCAGCTGCAAACACCACCCATTGGACTGAATCCCTCCGTTAGTTCTCCTAGGGATACGAAACGCCTTGAAAACCGATGCTGGTTGTACTAGCGCCGAGCTAGTATATGGCACGACACTGCGACTGCCTGGTGAATTTGTTTCTCCCTCGAGCTTCCCACCAGTGGTAGATCACGCTTCATACGTCAGCAGGCTTACAAACGCAATGCGTTCAGTTAAACCTGCTCCCCTTCGTCCACAGTCCATTGATGTTTTCGTTCATCCGTGTTTGAAAACTTCTTCACATGTATTTGTTCGTCGCGACTCTGTGCGCAGACCCCTGGAACCCCCATATGACGGACCTTATAAGGTAATTAAACGTTCTGATAAATTCTTTGTCTTGGACAAAAACGGCCGCGAGGACACCGTCAGCATTGACCGTCTGAAACCGGCTTACTTGGAGGGTAATCCTATTAGCATAGAGCTGAACGTACCCCAAAATCCACAAGTAACAGAAGATCGTGTAGACATCGATGAAGTCGCTAGCACAGCGACAGCTACCGAACCTTCTATCGAGCCTCTCAAGAAAACCCGTTCTGGACGCACCGTAAGGTTCCCAGAATATCTGCACACTTATTTGACTTAACGAATTCGTGTGATTCACGCAACTCACTCGTTCGTGGTACTAACTATTTTTTTTGACGTATAAATTTTTTTTATATACAGTACCACCGAACACAAAAATTTTTTTTCAACAGTTCATGTAACATACACAAAAAAATTAATTAGATGTATTTTTTTTCGATGTTCTGAACTTAGCATTATTTTACTGTATAGTAAATGCACATAATTTTTTTTAACCAAAAAGGTCATTTCGTACATTTTCCTCGACATGGTTCTTAGCGTTCTTGTTTTCTTTTCCAGGTGCGACGGGCACTGGACGGGAAACAAACGAAGCACGGAATCCAACGAACAACACCAGGAAGCTATGTACAAACACCCCATTAGCATAGGCAGACAAACCAGTAGGCATAAGACCAAGCCGCTCGGAAGATTTTTTTCACCCGAAAGGGAACCATCGAGTTTTTTTTACTTCCGGCTGGTTCTGTCTTAGGGTCCTCACGACCCCACTAGGGGGGAGTGAGCTGTAGCGGTAAATAATTCCCCAAAATTATTGACCACAGCAATCACTCATTGGATGCTGACCACCACTGTTTAAGTCGACTTGTTTAGCTGAAGGCTTCCGGTCAAGCATCCCCGCCATTTGGTACCTCGTCGTGTCACGTGCACGATCACTAGCTAGCTAAGCGTTCGTCTAACGGCTGGTTTTGGTTCGTAAATACATCTCTTGGTTTGGACGATCAATTGTTGGCTTTTGCTTTGTCTTTGGTACGCGAGAATAAATTAATTAGAAGTTGTTGAACGAGATATCACGTCAAACCTTTAATATCCGTCCAACCATTAAAGAATCAAGACGAAAGTATAAATAAAGCTATGAAACGCCTATCCCATAGAGGAATATATCGAATTTGTATTGAAGAAATTCATGCCAGAACACTTTTGTTCGTATATTATAGCTAACCTCATTCAGAAGAAGCATGATGTGCTGTAAAAATAGTAAGAAAATACTTCATAACATAGAAGCAAACCAGTGTATCTCAGAAGTTTACGCAAAAGTGGTTGATACTAGAATTTTCAAAAGAATGGATACTGAACAAAAAGTACTCTTTTCGATAACTTCATTATCAGGCTAAACAGTTATATATACACTACAGTAAATGAATGAATTATTGTTATGAACAACATTAATGTAGTTTAAATAATATTGAATCAGTACTATTGTGGTGAGAGCAGGCTGCTAGCCGATTGGTTGACACTAAGCTACGTTAATATGGGCCGTGAGAAAATATGAA